AGTGAAGGGTTGTCCATTAAAAACCCATTGGAAGCAGCTGGTATGTAAAGGATCCCAATTGTCATTTATATTTTAGCATCCATTTGTTTCTGGTTGGGACTGGGGGTCCGGGGTCCAGGTACGAATTGGAGGATCCATACCCGGCGCTCTCTGCAGCTCCAAAAAATCGCACACGTTCGCCCCGAGGTGGTGGCCTCGGACTCGGGCCGCATCGTGATCTTAGAGTACGACGGCACCAAGAACATGTGCGGACGACCCAGAGGTTCGTTCTTCAATCGCGGAAATCAGCGCCCCAGAAAAGCACGGCAGCGGAGCTGCAGAGCTGCAGCTCTGGCAGCTCTGAGCGCCGTGGATGAGCAGCAGCAAGTGTAGATTCGAGGCTTTTTCCATCTACAGAAGTGGCTTTTAGGGTGTCACAGTAGCTTCAGATGTATAGTCACTCTACTGGGGCAAAACAAGATCTTCAAACGACCTAAGTAATGACTTCTTGATAGGTGCGTCAGTGAAACTTGGAGTCTCAGGCAAGGTGCCGAAAAAGCGATATACCAGCAGTCACGTTCGACGGGGTGCGAGACGAATGGAGGTAGTCGGGGTGCGGTGCCCCGTCGTCACATCCACAGCCCCTGGATGGGACGAGCCACACCACCCTTTTGTGACTCTTAGTATACCTCGATCGTCCAGCTACTATGCACCAGTTTTCCACCTTTTCATCTATAGCAAAACCGGCCCCAGTTCGGGAGAGACTTTCGTTGGGATCTTCCAGGATTGCATCGTTGGAACGTTCAAAGAGACATGCCTTTGACCAGGACCCTCCCTTCGAGATGTCTATCAATAGCCTCGCCTCGCTCACCTCCAAAATGAGGAACGGGGTGTCCAAAAACCCATGGGGCTTGGTCCTGGTAGATGAACATCCCAACTGAAGTAGGACATTTTTCGCTCGAGGACCTTTCCCTCATCCGGCGCGCGATCGCCTCCGAGCGACCCGCGATCCCGAAATCGGGCGGTCCGTGGAACGAGAAGCAGCGAATTCCGCTGGGTTCCGCGGCTTCCGGACGAAGGAGGGAGTGTTCCTCTGTCCTCGGAACCCGAGGGTCGTTCCGCGGGGTCGCCTGTTTTCTGCTGTTTTTGGAGCATGTTTGGGGATCGTAACGTCCTAGATTGGCTGTCCAATGCTGTCCACTGGCGCCTTCGTGATAGTGCTTGCTCTGGGGTTCTGTCCGATGTTTCGTGATGCTTCGATGGCGCCCAGCTGCCCTTGGCCCATCTTCCGAAGCTCTCTGAGGTTTGAGAAGGTTCATCAGGAGACCTTCGGCAAGACGGGCTGCCGCCGCATCGTGTCGGGACGCCTGGAAGCCGCAGGGAGCCGATGGGAGCAGATGGAGTCACCAGGAGCCCTAGAAGTCGTGGCCCACCATTCATCTAATAGAGTTTAAAAACATTTAAAAACCTGTTTTTCCCAAACTACCGAGCTGTTTAAAGGGTTTACACTACAAAACCGGATTATTCCCGTTTAAAGGATGGAAGCGGACTTTAAGGGAGGGAGACAAGTGCATGATAGGCAGGATTCATCAAGCAGCTTCGTGCCTCGAAACAAAGTCCCTGAGGCTTGGTGCCTCATCAGGCTTGAATTCTCACATCCAGGTTGACGGTGTTTCTTCCAACATCCTGTCCCTTTTTTGACACCCCAACTCTTTGGAACGTGTTGCAACTTTTTGAATCGGCCTTCACTTGCGAAGGTCTTCCTTCGCTCAAAAGCCGGGCCAGACGGGTTGATTTCGATGGGAGGAGATGGGAGGCCAACGGATCAACGACGTTAACAGATGGCCTGGCGACATCACGTCGTCTGGCACGTCCGAGCGAACATCCATCTACGTCAGACTCGTCTGATGTGGATTCTGCCTCCGGTCGCCGAACACGAATTCCGGATGTAAGAAGACCATCTTTGTTCGGCAAAAAGAGAGTTCGGCTGGTGCCCTGCATGGTAACCTGTAGTGTAACATCTGTCGCAAAAGCCATGGTGGTTCGGGAAAAACAGGCGATTTGGGATCAATGGTGGGTGGCTGGAATCCTGTTCGGGTCAAACTCCCCCAATGGATCGCGATCTCGAAAAAGCAGGGAGGTGGGCTTTTGGTTCCCAGTAGGGAAGGTGGAGCGGTGGGTAGTTCCCAAGTAGGGAGGATGTCTTTTTCCTGAGGATGGGAGCACGGAGGTGTTAAACTCACCTGCGATTGATCAAAAAAAGGTGTTCGCCATGTTGTCCCGGCGACGCCTCGAATGTCCATGTCCATGTCTCTTCAAGATCATGGAACTGCTGCTCTTAGCTGACTAGCCAGGCTAGCCAGCAAAAACCGCTCAAATCCAAATCCGTCAAGATTATTTGAGCCATGGCCAAAAACAATTTCGGCGCTACAGCAGAGTGGTGAACTCCTTGCTCTGGAAGTAACGCCAGAGACGACAGGCTGGGCCCTTAAGCAGCAGATCAAGCAGGAACAGCCTTGGGATGAGCTCACTCGCAGCACTACAGGTGTAGAGATCATTGTTGGAGACAACCACCTGCTGGCCAATGATGCAATGGTATTGGATGCTGGAATTGCTGAAGATACTGTTGTGAGTTGTGAGTGTTGTCTTCAAACCAAATGTCGTGATATGCTCCAACCAAGATGCGATCACCAGTCTTGGCGGCATCGTCGACTCCGAACTGCTGCTAGTGGTCGAAATTCCCAACGGTGAAACGCACATTCTTGAGGATGCTTCTTACGAGTGTGAACATTGGCGAAGCTGACCATCCCAAACTCTGTGACCCACATCGGAGATGGTGCCTTTGCGAGTTGCAACTCTTTGGCAAACTTAACCATTCCGAACTCAGTGACCCACATCGGGGATTATGCCTTTCAGCTTTACAACTCATTGAGAGACTTGACCATCCCGGACTCAGTGACCCACATTGAGAAGGGTGCACTTAGGTGAATCGTGACTATCACGAATTCAGTGACACATCGAAGATCACGCCTTTCGTGAATGCCACTCTTTGAAGAACTTGACCATTCCGAGCTCCATGACCCATTTGGTCAAAAGCGTGTGCCTCCTTGGGAAAGAAGTTGTCTTGGGAGCGAAGACCATCATCAGGAACTTTGCGGATGAGCGAGCTTTGCGGATCATTTGAGAGGCTCCACGCCTGTGATATATGGCTACACCCCTGAAACCATCCCATGCACGCATACATGGAGCGTTTGGGTACGTGCTTGTAGCTTTTCGGCGTTCGCCACCTGACAACGGCCCAACGGAAAGGAGCCATGCCGCCGCCCAACGGCTTGGTGCCCGGACGGCTGTAGATTGGGGGCGGCGGCCCTGACTTGCGTTTTGTTTTCCTTGGAGGTCCAAGACTTGTGTTCTCTTTGAATCGTCGAATCTCTAGCAATAGTTTGTATAAACCTTCATGAAATTCTGAATAAACAGCCCGTATACCTTTCTTTTCTCCAGGAATCGCACGATCAGTATTTCTCTGGAAACGCGCACACACACAAGATCAGCACGTACGCTCTCCTTAGAAGTCGAACCAGCATTTTATGGCCTTTACCCGAACAACAATTGTTTTACACTAAGGTCAACAATTTAAACAATGGTCTTGGACTTCCAAGGCTCCGTGAAGGCCCCAAAGGGCCCTCTTTTGATGCCGGAAAAAAGGGACAGGTACCAAATGCCATGCCACTTCATCTCACAGTCTGAACTTCCAAGTTCTCAAACGTGAGCTCTGCTGCAGACGTTTCAGAACCGAACCCTGGAAGTCCAGTTCGATTACTTTAGGCACCACCCAAGTGTTCAGGAAGTTCCTGCACTCACTCGGATCACCGAACTCGTCAGACTGGACGAAACCAGGGGGACGCCCCAAAAGTCGCAAGGTTCATTTTGGTTCGGAGCTGACACGAAATCGCCGTGGTTTTTGGACACCCCGAATCACTTCTTGACGACGATCGTCAAATACCTAGCACTTCCGGTGCCCTGTCTGGAGACCTCTAAGCAATGAAGGCTTGTCCATTGGACACCCATTCAAAGCAGCTGGTGTCTACCCCAAGCGAAGGGAGGGTCCTGCTTTGACCTTTTTTCCACGCTTTTTTTGTCCTCGAACTGCTCCGCAGTCGCCAGTCGCGAGTCGAACTGCTCGTCGTGGAGTCGCCGCGATGGGCTCGTCGCGAGGCCGGGACAGTACCTGGCAGTCGATCCTAAGGGCCGTCCGGGGGCCCGGAGAGGTGAGGGTCAAGGCCCCAGCACGAATGGCGCCACGGGGCCCAGGGTCGCAGGCCGAAGGGGCTGAACAACCATAACATCGTGTTGGTTCCTTTGTGAGATGCTGATTCTTCATGTTTACACTGAACATCAAGTCGTTCCGGTGTTTAACACCATGTTTAGAATCTTGGACTCTCAGTTTGGCAAGCATTCGGGTTTCTGGTTGTACAGCGTTGTTCACATGGTTCACGTTAGATTTGGGTTTGATGAGACAGCAAGGTGAAACAGGTGAAAGGCGAACCGCTTCCCTCTCTATCTTGTGACAGCGCATCCACCGGCCTCCTTTGTCAATTGTGCTGGCCCCGCTGTTTGGTGAGGCGGCTTTTCTGGTTCTTCGCGGATGTGGATGCGAGATATTCATTTCGACCTCGCTTTCGTCGGGATGTCCCATGTTTCGAGGACTGCGACCATAACACATGGGTCAGCCTTGCTGGTTCCTGTCGTTCTTTTTTCAGCGGCTTTGGGTCGGGGGCCAGGATCATCCCCAACCAAAGGTTTGGTCCCAAAGAAGCAACTGAAGTCTTTTTCCATAAAACACCTTTCCGACGCTGTTTTAGGCGTTTGCGAGGGATTCCAAACCACGCCTTGATTCGTTTTTAAGGGAAGATCGATCTTGCGCTCTCGGGCTCTCGGTGACGCCTTCGGTGACTCGGACGCTCCTTCGGTCTACTGCCTGCGGCTCGCGCGCACGCGCGTGCGCGCGCGCCCGGTGCGAGGCGCGGTGTTGATCGGAGCCATTGAGAAGCAGAAATTCGCTCCTCGGACTGCTGCAGAGCTTAGCGGGGCCGACGGCCCGCGGGAACGTCGTGGATCTGGACCCCCGGAGCGGGGTGGAAAACGGTGACCGGACCCGAAACGACGTCCGATCGGTTTCGGACCAGAGTGGGTTGGGAAGGTGTTCCGTTTCGTTTTCGTTGGGAAGGGCCGAAGGGCCCAGGTCAAAGCATTGGTGACCTGGTTTTGGAGGGAGGACCTTCCTGGTATCGCCGGCATCGTCTGGGCTTTGAACGACTCCGGACGCGGTCGGAGTCGGAGACCAAGTCGTTCTTGGGGAAAAACGAGTGACATGGAGACCTTTTTGGTCCATGGTTTTCGAGGCGACTCATGCACTACCCCATATCGGTCCTGGCATATCGGTGGATGATGCACAGTTGCGGAAAAAGCAGGAGTCCAGTCACGGTTCAGTGAGTGTCGGGCGGAAACACCGGGACCGTTGGTGGGTCCGATCACGGGATCTGTGGGGTGCAACCCTGACCTGGATGGTGCGTGCTGCACCGACTTGCTGGGCCGTGTCAGGGGTGCTGCGGTCTACAGCACGGCGGGGTGCGAATTAGACGAGGTCTACATCCTCAACCGAGACTCAGCGGCGCGGTTGACGATTTCCTCTCCTCTGGAGGCGCACAAGAGTGACTTGGCGAAAGAAGCAAAGAGAAGGAGGAACGGACAGGGACGGAAGGACGGGGAGGGGCGTTGTAACTGAAGGTGAAGAGGTGGAGGCAGTGGAGGTGGATTTTTGAGAGAACACTCCCAAGATCACCAAGATCAAGAGATATCACTCCAAAAAGGCCTTCCAAAAGCATGGACTCAGCCTTTCAGGCGCTGGTATGATGAACTTCTGGTTTTGAGTCCCACTTCTGGGCTTGATCTGACAGGGGTACCTGCCTATCCTCCATTCGTGGCACCCAGACGATCCGAAATCTGGGTGGTTACCAGAACCAGGTACTCCCTAGGATTCAAACAACCATTGTTTTACTAAGGAATTTTACACTACACCACCAGCTCAACCGTTCTTTTAATGGTCTTTGAAGGCTAGGGTACTGGTTACCAGGAGTCACATGGAGGGCCTGGGTGGTTTTCCCGCTTTGGATGTGACGACGCGGCACCCCGACTTCCCTTCCAAGTGCGGCCACCGTGTCGACACGCCTCGTGAAGTGGTGAGGAACGGGGTGCCCCAAAACCACCGGACTTGGTGGAAGGTCCTGGTACCAGGGGTCACATGGAGGGCCTGGGTGGTGTGGCTTGTCCCATCCAGTGAGCGGATGTGACGACGGGGCACCTGTACTCCTACCTCCGTTCGGAACCGGCACGTCCAACGCGACTCCTGGTAGATAGACCCTAGAAGTCCAAAGACCATATATGTTTGACCGGCTGAAGGTTTCAGGAAGTTCCCGGACGACCGGGTCACCGAACTCGTCAGACCATTCTTCTTCGTTCGTCGACTGGACGAAACCAGATGTTTCGATGTTCTCTCTCCGTGGCGCCGCACATCTTCCGGTCGAAATCGCTTCCGGGCATCGGGCGGGTCCAGCACCCGACCGGGCGTGCCATCTTCCTCGAGGTGTCGATCAACAACCTCGTAAAGTGGTGATTCGGGGTGTTCAAAAAGCACCGGACTTGGTTAAGGCCCTGGTTTGTCTTCTTCAATCCATCTTCCAAGACATGCCTTCTTCTTTCCGCCTCCGCTCCCTTGTTGGACAGCCTTCCGTGTGGCGTTGGGCCGGTGTGGTGGCGGCGCGTGGCGAGGCTACACGTTGGTCTACGCCATGGTGGGCATGGACGTGGGTTTCGAGAATCCCTTGTTCGCCAGCATCGAGCTGAGCTACGAGGAGGCCCGACGGACGCCTCCGGGTGACAGGGAACCACCTGTGAGGGGTGAGGGGAGTTGGGCTGGGGGTTGGCGCTCGAGCTGCGGTGATTGGGCTGTGAGGTGGAAGTATTCTTGTTGCTGCAAGGTAGGTCGGTGAGCAGGATGCTGGTATGTATGGCTCGACTCGAAGCTGCTTGCTTCCTTGTATGGGCCGGCGGCCACCTCTTTGTTTCAGGGTTTTTCATTGCTTTTAGGACCATATGTTTAATAAAGCTGCTTCCAAAGGGTTAAACATGCTTCGACGGCTTGGGGGGGTTGTCCGTGGCCAATCCCTGGCGGCCTCTCTTGCCAGGTCGACAAGGATCCCCATGCGGAGCCTCCACAGAAGATGCTGACCTTGCGGCTGAGCCCGGAGGATCTGAGGAAATGGGGAGGTGTCAGCATCCATGCCGATCAGGCCAGGTGTTTGAGGGTCAATGCAGGCATGAACATATCTTCCAGTCCCATGGAGTGTTTGTCCTTTATTCTTGGATTTGGCATTGTCATTCCAATGTTTTGATTAAACATGTTTCCTGGTTCTTCAAAGTGACCTTTTGATAACCTGGTTGGTTCGGTCACTTAAGCCTCCTAAGGGGCACTTAGGAACCTTCAAAAGGTCACTTTGATTAAAGACTGTATTTCCAGGGGTCACATGTCGGGGTGGTGTGGCTTGTCCCATCCAGTGAGCGGATGTGACGACGGGGCACCCCGACTACCTCCGTTCGGAACCGGCACCCGGTCAAACGCGACTCCTGGTCGATCCACGAGATCCACCCGAAGAGGCCCCACGATGCGAGCCCCACGGTGTCCCCACTGTTTGGTGCGAGCAGCGTCCCACCTTCTTCCATCTTCCATCGCCGCTCTGTCAGACACATGTCCACCCAAAGACGCCCAAAGCACTGGCGGGAGATGATGGAGGATTTCCTCTATTAAAGTCTATTGTAGTTGGTTGATGAGAGGGGATATACCCCAACAACCTCGGCCCATCCACATCGACTGACTCTACCTCGGTCTGGCACCCCCATCTACCAACCCATGCGACCAGACACTCAGCAGTGTCGACCGTGCGGATGTCGACCGTGCGACCGTCGGTGCGCACCACCTACTCCCCTCCTCGTTTTCCGCACCAGCCCGAGGTACCACCCCAAGCCCTCCGCACCATTTCCACCCCCCCCCAACCTCCAACCTCGCTTTCGGAAGCCCATAGGAAGAGGACGCAGGCAAGGCTGCGATGCAGGAGTCGGCCAATCCTCGTCGGGTAGACCCGAGGTACGAGATGGACCTGGGCTTGAACCACGTGACCCGGAAATTCGCCGACGCCGTGGACCACAGCGCCCACGCGCTGATCGCCGTGCCGGGCGGCGTGGACGGCCCCAGCGGCGTGTGCCGTGGTGAGAACGGGAGCGGAAGGGGAAGTGAGCGGCTCCCCTCAACCCTAGGCTTCCTGGCCCACCATTAATTTAATAGGCTTTATGGAATCAACTAAGGATTTTACACTACAAAAACCAGGTGAACCATTTTTTAAATGGTCTTGGAAGTCTAGGGCAAGAAAGGAGCTTGGAAGCTACTGCAAGGGAGGTTTTGGGAGGTCTTGGGAGGTCTTGGAGGCTACTTGGAGGTTACTTGGAGGCTTTTTTGGGATGTTTTGGGGTGGTTGATAGCATAGGTCTCACAAATGCAAACTGGAGCTCAAAGGCAACGCCTCCGTGCACGTCTACCCTCTTGTTTTGTTTGTCCGCAAGGTTGTGACTCACCAAAGGCAAGGTTTTCCAGACCTTCCAATCTCTACAGGTCCCAAGACTGCAAACCTGGTGTCCTATACCTCATCTCCAAGGGAGGGGCCCAAGGGTACAGTTGAGTTCATCTCAAATCATCTCACCCCACTCCAGCACCTCCAACAGGTCACCAATTGAAACCTGTTAGGGCCTAACAACCCTCCATTTCGGAGACCTGTTGGAAGGTGCTGGCTGAAAACTCACAATCTGAGAGGAAAACCAGTCGGACTGAGGCTGCCCAAATCGGACCCCGGGTGCGAAGATCGTTTTCGGGGATCGTTTTGCCAGATCTGAGGTTGGTGTGCTGCGAGAACTGCTTGGTCTACAAGAAGCAGGGCCATCCCGATGTCGTTTGTGCCATTCCCCGACGTTTGGAGATGGCGCAAGAGAAGGGCTTGCTCATCGTGGCGCATGCCACGCACAAGCTGAAGGAGATCGGCATCGGCCGAAACGATGGGTTGGGAGGTTCGGGCACGGTGGCCGCAAGGGATCAATTTGATGGGGCCCGGAGCTGGAGCAGGTCGTGGAAGAAAGAGGGGAAGATGCTGACTTGAAAGAGCTGGAGCAGATGCTGCTTTTTGTTGCTGACCTCAATTGACTCGACTCATCCCCATAGAAGTCTTGTGAGTTCGACTATATTTGGCACTACTGAAGTAAAGGAACTTCCATGACATTCCTGTCACCAAGTCAGACAACTTTTGCAAGAGTCTTGGACTCCTGGCGGCACCTTGGTTGTTGATTTTGGAGCACTTTAGGCAGCTTATTGGAGCACCTTGGTTCAGATTCCACGAGTTCAAGTGCCACAATTCGAAAGCAGAGTTCTGAGAATTCAGCACCGGTTTCCCTTGTCCATCAGTTCCATATCTTGTAGACCAGTTTGTTTGCTTGGTGTGAACGCCTTGAGACTCCTCAATGGGAACAACCCAGTACCAAGTGATCTGAGCACCAATTGGCTGGCTGCCCATCAGGACTTCTTCTTCTTCCTGATCCAGAGTGAGTGGCATGGAGTGGATCATGTTTATGGGGATGAAGTGGAAAGGAGCCAAGAGAGGGTCTTTTCACAGCCGTGTTTAAGGTCGCCCATCCCATATACAGCTAGGGCCGCTAGGGTCCGAACGTGAAGCGGTCGCTCAACCTCTCTTGGAGTTCTAATGAGTTCCTGAAGGTTTTGGCTTCGCAGCCAGCGCTCACCTGAGGCAGCGCCAGCTCGCCTGCTCAGCTCAGCACTTCGTAGACGGATAGACGGACCAGGGACCTACCAACCATCAAACACCGGGGGAAAACCAATAGGAAAACACCGTTTTTTTCCTGTATGTGAACCCCAGTCCCAACCAGAAACAAATGGTTGGAACCCAATACGCCAGCTTGAAATCCTTTAGTTTTTGGAAATGGTTGGGACTGGGTTTCGTTCCATCCATTTCTTTCTGGTTGGGACTGGGGTTCCAGGTGTAGGTGAAAAACATTTTTTTCCATGGGAAACAGACGACCTTTGGACCCCGACACTGAGTGTTGGTCAGGGTCTGGACCTTTGGACCCTCCAAACCCTTTTCATTTGACGGATGCTCCAGGACCTGGACCGTCCACCGTGGACGGTCGAATCAAGCCTCCGAGGGCTCGAAATCGCCCTGTTCGTGTCCAACACGTAACTCCAGTCCGCATGGAACGCATCGGTCGAACACCGGATCCGAACCCACCCCGATCCCTCGCTGTCTCAGCTGCCGAACCGCGTCGACCCCTCGACCGCTGGCGTCACCGGCGCGCCACCGGCCGCCCGGAACGCGGAAGACGGCGTCCTCTGCAGCGGAAGCGACGCGCCGGTCCGCCCGACGTCGGAAGCGGAAAAGCGGAAGCGGAAAAGCGGCGCGGCGGCGAGGTACGGCGATCTGTACAAGGTCACCTTGACCCACGACGAGGACATGGTCTCGGAGGCGGGGGTTCGGAGGGGGAGGGGGTCCGGCATGGAGAGGGTCGGCGTGCGGATCCATCCATTTGGATCCTTCATCGGTCGGTCTGGGAGGAGGGGTTTGTCGACGTGCGGCGGCATGCGGTTGGTAGAGGACATGGCTTGGGGATGATGTGGAGGATCTGAAAGCGGTTCTTTTTGTGGATCGTGTGCTCGGATCGTGTGGGACAGCTTTGAGGAGCGGAGTCAACAGTTGGACAGATGTTGCAGGATTTCATGCACCTAGACGCTCCGTTCACAGCTCTTGGTCCCTCAAAACGCTAGGGATTTGAGACCCCAGACCCCTCCATATGAGGGTCCGACCCTTCCAATATGAGAGCCCATGAGCGTTTGGGTAGACCGATGAAGCAAACTGCCCCCGATGTGACCCCTTCACAGACCCAGCGACACCCGTGACACCTCCTGTTGACAAGGGATTTGCGTGGGAGCGAGACCGCAAGTGCGTGCATCCAAATGGGGGTTTATTACTCAAGACCTCCCACACATGAGCGATCCCGACGATCGTTCTCCAATGTTCTCCAGCATGATTCGCATTTTTTCCACCAACCCAGTCCTACCAGGACCTTCCGTTCGAGGTGTCTATAAATAGCCTTGTTTTTAGAGGTGATATTTTGGGGGTGTCCCAAAATCACCCGATTTCGTGTTAGGTCCTGGCAGTAGGTTCTTGCAGTAGGTTCTGACGCACTCCGTCTGGGTTTTTCGAGTGTGTTACGGGGCTTTCGACTTTGGACCCCCAATGCACTGGACCGGGGGCTTTTGGAAGGCGGACGGCGACCTCGTCCCAACCTCAAATCCGACGTCACCACAATCGGCTTCGTTTCGATCGTGAGTGGCAGAAGAAAGAAGGGGCATCAATACGACCCTTTCATACCCTTAGGGATCCAGTCGCACCTTCTCAGGTACGGTGATGTGTTCGACACTGTTATGTAGGTTTGGGGGGTCCAAGTACCTTCTGAGGTTCGGTACGACTGGATCCCTAGCATACACCTGACCTCGTTTTCGGGGTGTCAAACATGGTCCCTAGCCTCCACCTCCACCGCTGCACTCCCGGACCCGTTTGGTCTCCCTTCGAATCGGTGAGACCTGGGGCGCGCAGGTGCCAGGGTTCACTTTCGCACCTGAGGAGGTTACGACGAAGTCGGTGTACTAGCACCCGAGACCTGCCAGGTCACCACACACTGTTAAGTCTCCAAAAGCCTCCAGACCTGTAGAGTCGGGTGCTAGTAGGGCCGAAGGAGAGGTGTTTGTGACTCTCGTCTCGTCTCGCCGGGTCGCCGGGTCTCGTCTCGACGTCGCCAGGTGCAGGTGAAGTATTTTGACACGATCCCACTCAGCAATGCCTTGTGCGTGCTGAAGACAGGCCGAGAAGCCCAATTTCTACGTCATTTGGGGGTCGGAAAAGGATGGACATGTACCACATGCCATGCCAGGACTTCCTGCAAAGCATGTCCCAAGGATTCAAGATGGTTCCAAGGGGTTCCCGTTGTGTAGTCCCAAGGGGTTTGTTCGACATGGTTCCTTCCAGGGGTTCCCGTTTTGTGGTCGCCGTTCCACTTCCTCTGAGCTTCCAAGTTGCTCCATCTCACAGTTCAAGCTTCACCACCGAAGGGTCGTTTTGCGAAAGTTGATCCGGCTCGAAGCCACCGTGGTTTGGCCGACTGTTTTCTATTTTCTTTATATACTTTTTGACGGGATGCTGCCTTACCAAGAAAAGATACCAGCCAAAGCCCGCACGGAAGGAGCTTTTTGGATTCGCAGCATGGATCTGGTCTCTAACGGTCAGAACCATTGCGCAATAGGTGAACCTTTAAAAGTTTGATGGTCGAACAGAAGGCTGGGCTAGGACCTATTATAGATCTTCCCACTGCGCAACATTTTTGCCAAATTTGGATCCTTTTCGCTGCTTTTAAAACTGAAGTTCGGCAGACATGTTGCCGCCGGAAGATCGATCGGCAGCCCTTCAAAAACCATACCAGGGACCTGAAAAAGAACTTCTCCAACCCTCCTTCCACTTTGTGAGAGTGACATGTTCTGCTACTAGAATAGGTGCCTTCAGAAGGGCGTCGCACCGTCTTGAGTCTTGTGCGGCGTGCGCGGCCACGCGCACGGCCTCGCGAGGCTTCCTCTTCGCTGCGGCGGAGTTCGGAAACCACGCCTTGTATCAGTTCCAGGCGCGCGCGTTCCCCGCGGCCGCCCGGAGCGCGTTCGCCACGGCGGCCGCCCGGAAAAACGGGTTGGGGCGGTTTGGTCGCAAAAGGACCGTTTGGATGTTCGACATATCCCCCGACCGTAGCTACCTCGGTCTCCTCTGGTAGCGTGGTGACCTGGCAGGTCTTGGACTGGTACACGACCCATGGGACTGCCAGTCCGTTCTGCCGCCTCAGAAAGGCCCCCCCCCCCTCACCCCTGGCCGTGAAACTCGGCAGTCCGGACTGGCAGTCCCGGGTCACGTCCCAGTAGCCGAAAGCCGAGCTTGGCACCGCCTCAGTCCGGTTCCGGCTCCGTGCGGAGGAACCGCACGGAGCTCCGTTTCTCGCTGGTGAACACTTGTGTGACTTGTGCCTGGAACCCCAGTCCCAAGCAGAAAGAAATGGATGGAACGAAACCCAGTCCCAACCATTTCCTATGTAACAGGATTTCAAGCTGGCGCCATATTGGGTTCCAACCATTTGTTTCTGGTTGGGACTGGGGTTCCAGATGTGTGTTCATTTTTTTTCACCGGTGGTGCAGCCCTCCAGATGCAGAGATTTGTTCCTACCTTCTTGTCCATCGGATCCTGGCAGTCTTTCGTGCTGAGAGAACTCCCAGGCTGCGGACGGCGCCCTTCGTTCGCTCCACAGGGCATCGGCACCGATGAGGAGGATCCGATGTGCACCTCCTCCCATCCTCACGGAGCGCAGGCAGCGCATGGACATCGCGCGGCGCACGATGGATGCGCGGAGGACGGTGGAGACGGGACGACTGGTTAGGCTGAGAGTTGAGTGCAAGTTGTGGAGTCATGTGCAATCTTCCATCTGCACCTGCGGTTGGCTAAAGAAGACATTTACCTCTTTAACACACTGCGGTGACTTATGGAGACTTACAGAGTGGCAGCTGGCGACCTGTTTATCGTCGGGTGCGGGTGGTGCCACATTTCTGCTGAAACTTCATCCATCAAACCAGCCGAAACTTCTGCGGCAGAACTTTTGCACCCTTGGAAGATCTAAACAACCCTCCAAGCTCGCCCAGCTTTTTGAGAGGCTTTGGATAGACACCTCTTGGAAGATCTCAGTACCTGGCACTGACCCAGCTTCTGAGTATTCCCAGACTTGTGGACTTCACCAAACTCGAGTTCGACCCCCTTGAGTTCAGGCCCTAGTGGCCTTTAAACCGCGCGCCTTGAAGAACTTGATGCTCTACGATGAGCTCCTCGGCTGCAGCGGCAGTGACCGCGGTGCGGGGGTGGCGATGACCACGGTGCGGGGGTGTGAAGTGGTGCCGGCCAGGAGCCCCTGGCCTGGCCCTCGTCAGGTTTTCAGGTGGTTGGACCTCCCCAAAGATGAGTCATAGCCTTTTGCTCTCTTGCAACTCACTCAGTGGATCTCCGCGGAGATCTGGATCTCCCAGCCTCACTGGGGTCTGTATACACCCCTCCGTGACGGAGGGCTACCTGTGGATCAGTCCGATGCTTTTCAGACTCCGAAAGCTTGGGACTGTGGTACATGTGAGAGGTATACCCTCCTGAGACCATCATGTGGACCCAGTCCAGAAGCCCCGGTCCGGTGGTAGATCTTCGAATCAAACCCGGAGGGCCAGGGGGTGAAGTCACGGTCGACTTGCGAAGCGACAGAGGTGGGACTCGCTGATGTTCCCCTTGGATTGAGACCTCTTAGTCCACTGAACGACGATGCTTCACTCACGGTGGCCTCTCCGGGAGCGGCGGGTCACCTCCACTCGAACCGCGTGAGTCGTCATGGTGCTGCGCCGGTGAAACCGCCGTGGTGCTTCCAGTCGAGGATGCCTTCCTTGTCTCCCATCATCGACATGAAGGTCCTGGACGCCACAGGCTGGAGATCTTGCGAGGAAGCAGAGATCCTTCCAACTCACCTTCAAGTGGAGCTGCTAGACGAATTCGAGGCTTTTGAGGTCATCATTCGAGACAGGTAGGCACCTGAACATCATCCCTTCCCATGTCATGCACAGGCTGCACAGGGTAGTAAGATCTCACCCAAAATGATCCGAACCCTTCTCCCTTGGCATTCGCCGGAACCCACCCCCAACCCGCGCCCCAAAAATGACAGCGTTCGCCTTTAGTAGGCGCCGAATATACGTAGCCCTAGGCTTCGAACCACCATTAATTTAATAAGCTTTGCTGAATCAACTAAGGGTTTTACGCTGCAAAAACCAGGTGAACCATTGTTTTAATGGTCGAACGGAAGTCTGGGGTAAGTGAGTACGCCGTCATTGGTCGCGCTCTTCCCCAAGCCACCCACGACCTCCTCCCCAGCCCAGCCCCGGAGGCGAAGGAAAGCCGCAGCTCTACGCCATGTGCGGCCGTGGCCCGCGCGCCTCGTTGCGGGTGCTGCGGCACGGGTTGGCCGTGACGGAGATGGCCGTGTCCGAGCTTCCGGGGAAGCCGAACGCGGTGTGGACGGTGAAGGCGGAACGGGGGCGGAAGGAACGGGGACGGAACGGGTGGCTGGAAGCGGGGCGGTGTCCACCCCGCCGTTGCGTGTGTGTGGGGGGGGGGGAAAGAGATGGAGGTTCCAAGGAACCCTAGACTTCCGTTCGACCATTAAAACAATGGTTCACCTGGTTTTTGCAGCGTAAAACCCTTAGTTGATTCCATAAAGCCTATTAAGTTCATGGTGGGCCAGGAAGCCTAGGGATAAGGAAAGGACCGAACCATAGAACCTTTCCGGAACCACCTGATCATGGCACCTGCATGATATCAGGATCATGGAAGAAGAGGTACAACATCACCGTACCTGACAAGGTACGGTACAACTGGATTCCTTTTTGGGAAATCAATGAGATCACATGCCCGAGAGGCTCTGTCAGAACAGCTCCGGTCCCTCCAACATTGGATGGTGGTGTGTTCTTCGGATGATGGTGGGACGTGTGGAGTGGTATCGGTATAAGAAGACAGCCGTGGAGGTGGGTGGTGAGAGAAGTAGTGGCGGTGGTCAATTTGCTGACCTAGTGGTGTTTGTTGCATGGTAGTTAGCCAGAAGAGGCGGCAGAGGCTTCTTCAGACATCACATCATTGCCTTATTTTACTAAACATGCATGGAATTAGCCTTCGCAGCCTTCATCTTTCGATGGAATCCATGTTGAGCTTGCAAGAGAGCAAATGACTTGCATGCATACCACTTGCCCAGAACTTCCATTGACTCACTTTACCCCACCTGGAAGTCATAATTCACATACCAGCACCCTCCCTGCCAGGTCTCCCCTGGCTGAAATGCAGACTTGTTCAAGTCGCAGGTGGTGACCTGTGAAGTTGGGTGCTGGTATACCCATATAGTAAAATGATGTAAAATGAGTCATTTGGAGTCGTACCTGGAACCCCAAACAACCAGAAAGAAATGGTTGTTCCAATATGGCAATTGAAATCCTTTACATAGGAAATGGTTGTTTGCGGAAACATCCATTTCTTTCTGGTTGTTTGGGGTTCCAGGTAGGGATATACACGGTGATAGATCGTTGCCAGTCAATGATCAGCGAACCGAAATAAAGCGAACCGTTATCGCGGCCGACGTGGACCGTTTTAGGGCCGTTGACGGCCAGTGGTTGATCCCCCCCGAACGGCCGTGAGTTCTTTGATCTGCAATCCATTCTCGCTGTTAAAACAAGTCTCCACCATGAGACTTGCCACTGATTCTTACCAAGTTGACTTCTTCAGCGGCAAAACGCCATCGACTCTTGGGCTCGCGCGAGGCGACGATGGACAGCGAGTACGACCGATACATCGTGGTGTCCTTTGTAGATGTGACTCTGGTGCTCTCCATTGGTGACACCGTCGAGGAGGCGGACAAAAACGATGTGCCCAGACGCTCATGGACCCTCCTAAGTAGGGGTCCGGACCCGAACCAATCCCTAAGGTTTGGTTCGGTACAGTCGAGCTGTTTTCACGGAGCGTCTGGGTGCTTATTCTTTTTCTGCGTGGGAAGAAGGAAGGGGCTCACTTCCACCTTCCGAACTTAAGGTGTCAACAGCCTCTTGGAGGTGAAGAGGTGTCCGTTGCAACCACCGGACTTGGTTTCGGTCATGGTACAAGGAACATCGAATATAATTAGTAAACAACACTGGACCTGGTAAAGAACACTGGACCTTCTGGTAAAACACTTCCACCATCGAATATAATTAGTGTTTTTACGTGAATTTTACGAAGACAGGTCAGTTTGACATCATGCAACACTGGATCTTGTATTTTTCCACAGCCGGGTGGTTGATGGTGGCCCGGTGGTGTTTTTTGTCGTATATGTGGCTGCCCTTCCACAAAATGAAGTGATGGTGGGGTTCCCAGGTGACCAATGAAAGATAGATCATCAATAATCATGGCTTCTCGTGGGTCTTGGGGAAGCATACCTGGATCACAACCAACGTAGTGCTTCCCATTGCGGCCCAACGAAGGGCTGGTTTTAGGAACGGAGTTCGGCGGACACTCTGCAAATTCGAGGACGATCCAGATATACAGACGATTTGAGGGGGGATGTTCTCTGATGTTTAAGGGAGTACTGTATAATTCCCAGGACCTTCCAACAGGTCACCACCTGCGACTTGAACAAGTCTACAAACGCCTCCAAAACTCGGAGACCTGGCAGGGTTTCGGTGCTGGTTGAGGATCCCAGTGGAGGTCACGAAGGTTCGGCCTAGAAGGTTCGGTCTTTCCAGTTCGGTCCCCACCCTCCCACAGTCTTAGAGGGAGATCGAAGCGGTATATGCAGATCGAACCGCCCGCCAGTGGTGCGCAGGGCGATTGCATCGGAAGCACCGCCAGGTCTTGGACAGTGGTTTCCTGGCCACAGCGCCCTCGCTCTTGATCCAACTCATGGCGGATGACTCCTACGTGCAGGCGCTTTCGACCGGTCCGGCCCCGGCAGCGCGTCTCTCGACCGGTCCCCCGTGGTGGAAACCGGGCGGTTTGTTTAATGAAAGCACTGAGTTGAGCCGCACTCAGAGCCACTTCCTGTGCTAAAGGATCTCAATTCAACATATTTCAACCAGGAATTTCCAATCACAGGCGGTTTTTGGATGCCATTTGGACACCCCGAATCACCTCTGGTCGGAGCTATTGTCGGACCACGCCCAGGAACTTGACACCAAAACCACCAGCACCCGACGACTGCCAGGAGACCTCTCGTGGAGACAGGGTTGATGGGCCCATGAAAGATCTAACCGGTCTCAACCAGCACCCTCACTGCCAGGTCCCCACCTGACACTTTAAAGATCTTTTAAGTCTCCATTTCAGCTACCAGAAGAGACCTGGCAGGTCGACCGGGTGCTGGAAGTGGTAACTTGACAGGTCTCGGGTGTTGATGTGACCTCGATGCCCACTTTTCTGAGCTGGGATGCCCAAATACTCCGTCGGATTCGGACCAATGCCTGATTCCAAGCGATGAAACCAAACCACACACCTTTGCCTCATGTGATAGTCTGGTGATACCTATCCAAACCAGCCTGGTTCACAGCAGTTCCCCAGCTTTTTCATCCCTTAGTTCCTCTTGTAAAGTCATCACCCTAAGAATTCGTATGGGCTCTCCATGGCAGAGGTCGGACCCGACACCGAAACGCGTCCGGGGTCCGGACCCGAACCAGGGCCCCTATGTGTTGGTGAAGGGGCCCGGATTCTTAGGGCATGTGATGCTTGTCTTCCCTGGGGTCCACTGACCCTGGTCCTGCACCGAACCGCTGATTCGTCACAGGTGCATCCCACGGGGATCCGCCACTTGCTCCCCCGACGGACGAATGAGCTGGGGGAGCCCAGACGACACGGAAAGGTCCGGAGGAGAAGGAACTAGCGCCGAAGCGAACTGGCGGATCCTCACCGGAGCGCACCGTTTGCGGATTCAGTTTGCGGACGCCCGGCCCGGAATCGTGGCCCAAATCGTGCGGAACGACCTCCCAAGCTTCACCACCCCTACCAGGACCCTCCAACAGGTCATACCGAACCTCAGAAGATACTTGAATCCTCCAAACCTACGTCGAACACATCACCGTATACCTGACAAAGTACTTGGATCCCTAGGGTATTTGGGGGTTATCATGGAACTCCCAGCCACATTTCAGTTCTTAAGTCTATCGCCAGGCCGGGAGGGAAGGGGAGGGGGAGTTCGATCGGCCGATCGGACGTTTCTGGTTGGTGGGTTCCTGGGCATGGCACCCAGGACGATCATGTGTCATGTGTCGGATCTCTATAGCAATCCGTGTCCATGCAGCAATTCGATCTGAGATCCATCTTTCGACTGAAGAATGAAGAGCATCCAGGATGTCCATACGAAAGGAGTACCTTGAAGTGGGATATACTTCATGGACATCCCTTGTTTTTGCTGAACATCGAATCAGAGACTAAGAGGTCATGATTAGACACTGGTTGGCATTGGGGTGTCTATGATCAGCGTAACAGGAAGCAGTCCGGAATCAGATCTTCCTTCCTTGAACCTCTCATTGCTTCTTCCATCATTTTTTGGGTGCTGAAAGCACCATCGAACCCAAACCCAAAAAGGAACACGAAAACACACCCGCAACGTACACCGGCCCCATCCCCTTTGGGCTTGTCGCGAGCCCAGGTGGCGCGTGCCGGGGCAGAAGCGCATCGTGACCGCCGCGGCCAACGAGCGCCAGGCCGCTCCGCTGCGCACTCCGCTCCGCTTCTCCGTGAAGAAAGATCGGTTTGCCCTGGATGAGGCTTCAAACCACCCCGCCAGGACCTGTCAAAAGGTGCGACCTTTGGGACACGCCGAATCACCAGGCCGAGGCCATTGATGCCAGGAGTCACGTGAGCTCCGGGGTGCCGGTTCCGAACGGAGGTAGGAGTACAGGTGCCCCATCACATCCACGGCCCCTGGATGGGACATGCTGAGCTTCTCGGAGTCGATGCAGCGTTTTCGTCGTGTTCGCCAGTGATTTGCCTTGAACCGCAGCCACATCAGTCACAAGGAAAGCCAAGAACCAAAACTGGTGATGGTGCGACACAGGTTGCCAGATCGTGGGGGCTGAAGAATCACAGCGAGGCTTGGTCGCTCTTTGTTCGGCAAACATGCTTCATTCATGAATATTCATGAGATATCACTTGATCATTTGTCATACATATCTTCATGATATGGCCTCCTAGCGGCCAGCCGTTTTCCTGCAGATATAAGGTCGCTAGGGTAGGAGCCGAACTTGAGCCTTGCCAGCCGGACAAACCAGCCCGCTGTGGAACCCTCCAGACAAAGCAGATGATTGAAATAGATCTATCTATCTATCTATCTATCTATCTATCTATATATATTATTATAATAGAAAGCAGCCTTGGCATGAAAACAGCCTAGAAGTATATACTCGAGGCCGGAGTGAAGTATTGGCACAGCCTTGGCATGCAATCCAAGAACACTCGCGGGCGCGTCGTGAATCATATGGCCATGGCCTTAGAGGCGATCCGGCTCTCCGCGGTGCTGGCAGATGGCCAGAAGATGCATCTCGAAGTGAAGAAAGAGACGACAGGCCGTGGTTGTTGAAGCAACTGGTGGTTTCTGCCAAGTCGTAATGTTTTGTTAAGGTGTCAGAAAAACAAGTAAAGAACCACTACCAGCACCCTCACTGCCAGGTCACCAATGGTTCGACCTGAGACAGGGTCCAACAACCCTCAACTAACAGACTGGCCAGGAGGGTGCTGGTAGTGGTTTCAGAACCACTGCTTGTGATAGGTCGAGAGCTGAAGCAGCAGATCAAGGAGGCTCAGCTTTCGGATGAGGTCGCTCGATCGACGACGGTGCTGGACATTCTGGTTGGAGACGACCACCTGCTTGGCAACGATGAGACGCTGGGAGATGCAGGGATCGAGGATGATGCTGTGGTGAAGCTTACGTTCAATGAGCTGAAACCAGTGACATGCTCCCACCAAAGGGTGCTTGCAGACTTCACAGATGACCTTGACATGAACCAGCCCGTCGTTGTTGAGATACCGGATTCGGACACTCACATTGCAGAGCATGCCTTCCAACGCTGTCAAAAGCTGGTCCACGTGACCATTCCAGAGACGGTGACCCACATTGGGAACTGCGCCTTTCAGTCTTGTACCTCATTGGTAACCTTGACCATCCCAAACTCGGTGACACACATCGGGTCTCGTGCTTTTCAGAATTGCAGTTCCTTGAAGAACTTGACCATGCCTAGCTCTCTGATGCACATCGGGGATGAAGCCTTTCAGAATTGCAGCTCTTTGGCCATCTTGGCCGTCGCCGTCTCCAACTCCAAGCCTGTGACTGTGCCTGTGAAGAAGCAACCTTCCCGGCATTGCAGCTGTTTGGAGAGCTTGAACCTGGAGAGGAACCTCCCCCTCCCCGTGCCCGTGCTCGATATCGGGTGTCGTGCCTTCGAGGGTTGCAGCTCTTTGAAGAGCTTGGTGATCCCCACCTCCATGACCCATATCAAAGATCAAGCCTTTCAGAATTGCTGCTCCTTGAAACTCTTGTTGGTCCCCAGCACAGTGACCCACATTGGAGATCGTGCCTTTCAAGGTTGCACCTCCTTGGTGAACTTGACCCTCTCGAACAGCGTGGCCCACATCGGAGATTTGGCCTTTGAGGGCTGCAGCTCTCTGGTGAACGTGGTCGTCCCTAGGTCGGACATCGCTTCTCGAAGCGAGAGAACCGCCGAGGGTCCGGCACCTCTCTGGGGTGTGACCGGGTGGATTTCCAGCTATTTTGCGAGTGCCTCGCTTCTCACCGCGGAGAAACCCCTCACCAAGCTCGGTTCTCGTGCCTTTGATGGTTGCAATGCTTTGGTGAGTGTGACCCTGCCAAGCTCGGTGACACACATTGGGGATGAGGCCTTTTTCAATTGTGCAGCTTTGTTGCACTTGAACATGCCGAACTCAGTGACCCACATTGGAGCTGCTGCCTTTGAAGGTTGCAACGCCATGTTATCCTTGACCATCCCCGAATCAGTGACCCACATTGGGAGTGGTGCCTTTCGGAGTTGCTGGCGTTTGGGGAAGGTGTCCATCCCACACTCCGTGATCCACATTGGGGATGAAGCCTTTCGGAATTGCAGGAAGTTGGGCAAGTTGGCCCTGCCCAAATTTCTGACCCACATTGAGAGTAGCGCCTTTCGGAATTGCAGCTCTATGTCCAAAGTGACCATGCCAAGGACACTGGTTCACATCGGGTGTGATGCCTTTGAGAATTGTCGCTCCTTGACCACTTTGATCATCCCAAACTCAGTGACACACATCGGGCCTGGTGCTTTTGCGAATTGCTGGCATGTGGCAAAGTTGGTCATCCCCGAGTCTGTCACACACATCGGGCCACGTGCATTTCAGGGTTGCAGCTCTTTGGTGACCTTGCCCCTCGGGAGCTCCGTCGCCATGATCGGTGGCCGTGCCTTTGAGGGGTGCAGCTCTTTGACAAACGTGACGATCCCGAAGTCCTTGACGCACCTCGGGAAGGATGCCTTCGAGAATTGCAAATCTTTGAATTTAAGCAACTTGAGCATCCCAAGCTCGGTGATCCGCACCGACCGCGACTAGGCGGACTCGGCAGGCTTCCGGAATGAAGCGACTTTTTTCGGCTCTAGGCCTTCCGGAATCGACTCGTTACCACGGCCCATGCGGAGTTCATCCTCCGATGCGGCACGGTGAGAAAGGGAGCGCTGAGAACGAGCTCACGGCATGCCTGCGGTCGAGTGATGAACATCGCAGGCGGTTGTGCATGTAATGCAAGATCCTTTGGGGGGAGATGGAATATGGTATTCCAGTTCCATCTTCACGATTGGGATGGAACTGACAGGCGCCGTTTCCATCAAACCAACCAACATCGAAGCGCTCCCAGCGCCTCATCACTCGACCGTGAAACCAATGATAAACCGTTTATGGCCATCCATTTCCATCCATCGTCTCGTCTTCATCACTCACCCTCCTCCATCCTCCGTTCTCGATCGAACGGAACGGATCCGTTGTTCCTCCGCAGGTGGTCATTGCCCTGTCGGGTGGTGAGATCCTGTACTTTGAGATCGATGAGAGCCACACGCTCAACGAGGCGGACGCCGTTTGGCGTGGCTCCGTGGCGGACGGCCGCTTCGGTACGGCGGCAGCGTGGGCCGGTTCCGCGACATGGGTGACCACCATGGAACTTGGACGGAGACGCGTGGTCGAAGTTCACCGTGGCCTCATGTCGAGGTTGCAAGAACCAGTGGACCAGACTTCTTCGGAACATCGTCTTCCACTTCGGCCCATTTGTCCCCTTCCATCTGACTTCGGAGTGGTTTCAGAGGCCGGTGACCGTGAGGCGTCACGGTCGCCAGAACTGTCGGATCTGTGGCGAGTTCGGAGGTGGCGAAGCGAGACATGAACTACGAGGTCCTGTGCATTGCCGCGCGGGCTCCCGGACCGTGCGCCCGCCCGCCCTCACGGCTCCTGCGGTGCACCACTCCCCCTTCTCCATCGCGTCACATCCTGGTCGATCCGTGGGGGCTCGGTTCCTACCACTGCAGACGCTCCGTGAAAACGACGGCTCATCCCTCCCGGTCCCGAAGCAAACGAACGGGATTTGGGGGGGGGATGAACCGGAGACGGCCCGGTCGCGGTCCCGGGGCCTTCACGGGTCGCGGTACCCATACCGAACCGACCCGGTTCGGCTCCGCACCCGGCACCGTGTCGACCTCACGGTGCCGCTGGATCCCCAAAAAAGGCACCCTGAGAGTGCACCCAGACGCGACCCTGAACCCGAACCTACCAGCAGAGGTGGGGAGCGAACCCGAACTAGAATAGACTATCCTATGATAGGTACCCCAGGTGACGGGTCCTAGTTCAGGTCACTTAACCTCTGTTGGTATGGAGGGGTTGGACCCGAATGACCCGAATCCTCAGGGGTTGGACGGGGTCTCAAATAGGGACCAGTCGGGCTGAACGGAGCTTTTAAACAAGACTATTTTTTAAAAACGGTCTGAATTGGTGATCCGAGTTCAGGAACTTCCTTTAATTGGGTGGTGCCTAAAATCGTCGAACTGGACTTCTGGGGCTAAGGGGTTTCGATAGCTCCTTAGAGGAGGTTCGGGGTGTCCGTGAACCATTTGACAGTGGGTCCTGGTAGACACTCATGGTCCCACAGCAGGGTCCTTGACGTGTGTGGAGTGTTGTGCGGAACCGGTGCTTTTTCAAACCGGGGCGGCTGCACGGTTTGAGCAGCTCATCAGATATGCTGCTATGCAGCTTTTTTT